CAATATAGGTTGCTGTACTTGGAATAAAAATTAAAAGATGAATGCAAGGCAATTTCTGTGTAGAACCCTGTAGTAGAGATTAGTGGGATTAGTGGAGAAAAGGGAAACTTTGTACACTGTTAGTGGGTATGTTTATTGGTGCAGCCACTGTGGGAAATAGTATGGAGGTTCCTCAAAAAACTAAAAATAGAACTACCATATGATCCAGGGTTTACTCCTGGGCATATATCTGAGAAAAATGAAACACTAATTCAAAATGACACATGCTCTCAATGTTCATAGCAGCAATTCTTACAATAGCCAAGATATGGAAGCAACCTAAGTGTTTATCCACAGATGAATTGCTAAATAAGACTATATATACATACACACACACACACACACACAAATGACATACTACTCTGTCATAAAAATGAATGAAATTTTGCCATTTACAACAACATGGATGGGCTTGGAGGTTATTATTCTTAGTAGAATAAGTCAGACAAAAAGACAAATACTTTATGTTATCACTTATCTAAAACTACAACAAACTAGTGAAAAGATATGGACTTATAGATACAGAAAACAAACTAGTGGTTGCCAGTGGGAAGAGGGACAGGGGAGGGGCATGACAATGGCTGGTGATTAAGAGGTTTGGACTACTACGTATAAAACAGATAAATTACAAGGATATATTGTACAACACAGGAAATATAGCCAATGTTTTAAAAAAACTTTAAATGAAATATAATCTTTAAAAATTGTGAATCACTAAGCTGTACACCTGAAACATATAATAATGCAAATCAACTACACTTCAATTTTTTTTAAAAAAGCACAATCTTAGTCTAATTATGATGAAACTAGGCCAACTGGCAAGATCGCTGGGAGAAATATCAATAACCTCATATGCGGATAACATCACCCTTGTGGCAGAAAGTGAAGAGGAACTAAAGAGCCTGATGATGAAGGTGAAAAAGGAGAGTGAAAAAGCTGGCTTAAAACAACATTCAAAAAACTAAGATCATGGCATCTGGCCCCATCACTTCACGGCAAATAGATGGGGAAACAATGGAATTAGTGACAGACTTAATTTTATTGGGCTCCAAAATCACTGCAGATGATGACTGTAGTTACGAAATTAAAAGACACTTACTCCTTGAAAGAAAAGCTATGACCAACCTAGACAGCATATTTAAAAGCAGAGACATTACTTTGCCAATAAAGGTCTGTCTGGTCAAAACTATGGTTTTTGCAGTAGTCATGTATGGATTTGAGAGTTGGACCATAAAGAACGCTGAGCATTGAAGAGCTGATGCTTTTGAACTGTGGTGTTGTTGGAGAAGACTCTTGAGAGTCCCGTGGACTGCAAGGAGATCCAACTAGTTAATCCTAGAGGAAATCAGTCCTGAATATGCATTGGAAGGACTGATGGTGAAGCTGAAACTGCAATATTGTGGCCACCTTATGTGAAGAGCTGACCCATTGGAAAAGACCTTGATGCTAGGAAAGACTGAAGGCAGGAGAATGGGATGACAGAGGACCAGATGGTTGGATGGCATCACTGACTTAATGGACATGAGTTTGAGCAAGCTCAGGGAGATGGTGAAGGGCAGGGAAGCCTGGCATGTTGCAGTCTGTGGGGCTGCAAAGAGTCGGACATGAGTGAGCACTGAACAACAAAAAGAGGCAAACGTAAACTGAGAAGCATTCAGAAACATAACTGGGCAGTATTCACCAAGTGACAAGGTTATGAAATATCAGAAAAGGCAGAAGAACTGTCATAGCTTGTAGGAGACCAAAGACATACAACAATTAAGCACAACGTGGCATTTTGAATTGGATCTTGGAACAGAAAGAATTGTGGGAAAATGTGAAATTCAGATAAAATGCAGTTAATAGTATAGTACCAATGTTAATTTCCTTATTATGGTAATTGTTCCTTGGTTATATAAGATGTTAACATTAAAGAAATCTAAGTAAAGAGTGTATGTAACTCTACATTCTTTTAGTAAGTTTTCTTTAAATCTAAAATTATTTAAAAAATAAAAGCTAAAACTGTATTCAGTGTTCCTCATCTCAAGTTATTGCTAATCGTAGCTACCATGTTCTTGCATTTTAACATTGACAATATTAAATGTTATAACTCCAAAATCAAATTTAAGCCTATGTCCCAGTTTTGGTGTTGTTTTTTTTTTTTTCATTTGGCAGCATCAGGAACTTTGTTTGACATTTGAATCTAGTTCTCTGACCAGGGATGGAATCTGGGCCCTCTGCACAGGGAATGCGAATTCTCAACCACTGGACCACTAGCAAAATCCCTATTCCCCAGTTTTTAGCAGTTGTATGTATTTCAACACTCCCAAGAGGATTCACAGTTATAGATTCAGGAAGACAAGAGTTGAGGCTACACAGGATTGTAAACAATAAGTCCATTTCTCATGCTGGTGCCTTCTTTCCTGAAGGAAATACTATATAAGAAGAGTGAAAGGAGCTTGGGAAAGTATGAAAAATTTACAAATAAAAATACAAATATATAATGTATGTAATTCATGTGTTTCTGCAAACACTGTCTGTAATTTTAATTTTAATACTTGGTTAAAGAGAGCCTCTGATCAACTATTTTCAATTTACTTTTTTAAAACAATCTACACCTATATGCCTCTGGAAGAAATGGGCTGAGAAAATATGTTCGTAGAGCAGAAGCTGTAAGAAGATTCACCATCATTTTGAATTATGTGTTATCTTGAGAAAGAAATGGTGTCCAATTGAATGCAGAGTTCCAAAGAATAGCAAGGAGAGATAAGAAAGCCTTCTTCAGTGATCAGTGCAAAGAAATAGAGGAAAACAGTAGAATGGGAAAGACTAGAGATCTCTTCAAGAAAATTAGAGATACCAAGGGAACATTTCATGCAAAGATGGGCAAAATAAGGGACAGAAATGGTATGCACCTAACAGAAGCAGAAGATATTAAGAAGAGGTGGCAAAAGAAGAACTGTACAAAAAAGATCTTCATGACCCAGATAATCACAACGGTGTGATCACTCACCTAGAGCCAGACATCCTGGAATGTGAAGTCAAGTGGGCCTTAGGAAGCATCACTACAATCAAGATTGCCAGGAGAAACATATCCATAACCTCAGATATGCAGATGATACCACCTTTATGGCAGAAAGTGAAGAAGAATTAAAGAGCCTCTTGATGAAAGTGAAAGAGGAGAGTGAAAAAGTTGGCTTAAAACTCAACATTCAGAAAACTAACATCATGGCATCTTGTCCATCACTTCATGGCAAATAGATGGGGAAACGATGGAAACAGTGAAAGACTTTATTTTGTTGGGTTCCCAAATCACTGCAGATGGTGACTGCAGCCATGAAATTAAAAGATGCTTGGTCCTTGGAAGAAAAGATATGACCAAGCTAGACAGCATATTAAAAAGCAGAGACATTACTTTGTCAACAAAGGTCTATCTAGTCAAATCTATGGCTTTTCTAGTAGTCATATATGGATGTGAAAGTTGGACTATAAAGAAAACTGAGCATTAAAGAATTGATGCTTTTGAACTGTGGTGTTGGAGAAGACTCTTGAGAGTCCCTTGGACTGCAAGGAGCTCAAACCAGTCCATCCTAGAAGAAATCAGTCCTGAATATTCATTGGAAGGACTGATACTGAAGCTGAAACTCTCATACTTTGGTGACCAGATGCGAAGACCTGACTCATTGGAAAAGATCCTGATGCTGGGAAAGATTGAAGGTGGGAGGAGAAGGGGATGACAGAGGATGAAATGGTTGGATGGCATCACCAACTTGATGGACATGAGTTTGAGCAAGCTGGGAGGTGGTGATGGACAGGGAAGCCTGACGTATTGCAGTCTATGTGGTCGCAAACGATCAGATACGACTGAGCAGCTGAACTGGCTGATGACTCAGTAGTTCCACTCCTAGATACATACTGAAAAAAAAAATAAAAACACTAATTCAAAATGATACATGCACCCAATGTTCATAGCAGCATTATTCATAATAGCCAAGATATAAAATCAACCTAAGTGTTCATCAAAAGATGAACAGATGAGGATGTGGTATACATACACAATGGAATAATATACAACCATAAGCAAGAATGAAATTCTGCCATTTGCAGCATCATGGATGGACTAGGAAGGCATTATGCTAAAGTGAAATAAGTTGACAGAGAAAGACAATACTGTATGATATCACTTATATGTGGACGCTAAAGTGGGAGGAGAAGGGGACGACAGAGGATGAGATGGTTGGATCGCATCATTGACTCAATGGACATGAGTTTGAGTAAACTCCAGGAATTGGTGATGGACAGCGAGGCCTGGCGTGCTGCAGTTCATGGGGTCACAAAGAGTCGGACACGACTTAGCAAATGAACTGAACTGAAAAGTTATCAAAATTAACACATATTCTGTCATTTCCAGTAGAATTCTGTGAAATTTGATGTGTGTGAGACAGCTATAGAGAACTTCTCCAGGACATTTAAAACAATGATTCATTTAAACCAGTGGTTCTCCATGTCCTGGAGTAGTTCCATAGTTTTGGAGACTAAAGTGATCAGTTTTCTTATAGTGTATCCATGTGCTTTGTGAATTCAGAGTTTTTTTTTTTAATGTGAATTTTTTTCACAGAGGGAAAACTTCCTATATTACTCTTTTCAGGATCTTTTTTCTGACACACATTTACACATGCCATCGAAATTCACTTTCCTCCAGGATGGCCCTGATAGGTAAAGAGGAACAGGAATTATTATTCCCACTGTCTGGAGGAATCTAAGCCTGAGGAAAAAATGGGCTAATTTGCACAAGAATACCCAGGAAGTCAATGAAGGATTAAGCCAAAATATATGGACTCTTTCCAGCAAACTCTATTTTGTAAACTCAAAAGGCTTGCTTGTTCTTGACCAAAATGCTGGTCTCATTGTAACTTATGGGGGGACTAGCAGGGGTGGGGGCATACCCTTGTTTGGCTTAAGAATTGCAGGGAAGCACTTACCAAGGAGAGACGAGTACAGCCTCATCATTGAGAAGGCCAGGTGGATGGGAGATGTCTGGACCACAAACTTACAATGGAGGCGAGTAAATTCAAGGCAGGGCTGGACAAGCCACATGAACATGTCATTGACCTAAGAGTAAAAGTAAAATTTGATATTAACAAGTGTGTTTAAGAACTTGGTACGCCTCAAGGAGGCTGAAGATAAGACTACTGGTGACTTTTTGAGTCTAGGTATATTGAAGAAAGTCCATAGGCAACAAGACCTGTGCCCCCAGCTTCCTATTTAATGTGAAGTCCACTGACTATGCCCACTCCTCCCATCCTACTGAGCTGAATACGGAAGAAAAGCTTGGAGCCACTATGGGTCATCTACAGGATGCACGAAACAGGTTCCAGGAGCCACGGTATCTGACTTTTCTATAGAAAAATGTTAGGAATTCTAAACAACTGATTTGGAAAAGACTGACTGGCATTTATGAGGCAGGACTCCTGTAGAAAGTGGACATTGAGAAGTCAGGGCTTATTTGCAGTAATTCCCCACATATATGTATGTATGTACATACTTACTGGTGGGTATGATGATTCTTATCTCTTGGCTCTGCTCCTACCCACTTACTCTTTAGAAAGAAATTACTTGATTTTCTCCTCTTATTTTAGTGTTTTTTTCATTTTTCTTAAACTCTGTGACTCTTACTGAAAATTACTTTGTTATTTTTTTGTAAATAGGAAGGTCATCACTAAATAAATACACTCATAGGTGATTATATGTGGATATGTGTGCATATATAAATGTATAGATGCTTTTATACGTATAATCCCAAAGAAGGGCAATGCTAAAGAATGTCCAAACTATGGCACAGTTGCACTCATCTCACTTGCTAGGAAGTAATGCTCAAAATCCTTCAAGCTAGTCTTCAGCAGTACATGAACCGAGAACCTCCAGATGTACAAGCTGGATTTAGAAAAGCCAGAGGAACCAGAGATCAGATTGGCAATATTTGCTGGATCATGGGAAAAGCAAGAGAATTCCAGAAAAGCTTCTGCTTCACTGACTATGCTAAAATCTTTGACTGTGTGGATCACAACAAACTGGAAAATTCTTAAAGAGATAGGAATACCAGACCACCTTACCTGTCTCCTGAGAAACCTGCGTGCAGGTCAAGAAGCAACAGTTAGAACCGGACATGAAACAATGGACTGGTTTAAAATTGGCAAAGGAGTATATCAAGGCTGTATATTGTCACTCTGCTTATTTAACATCTGCAGAGTATATCATGAGAAATGCTGGGCTGGATGAATCATAAGCTGGAATCAAGATTGTCGGGAGAAGTATTATCAACCTTAGATATGGAGATAATACCATTCTAATGGTAGAAAGTGAGGAGGAACTAAAGAGCCTCATGATGAAGGTGAAAGAGGAGAGTGAAAAGCTGCCTTAAAACTCAACATTCGATGGGAGAGAAAGTTCAAAAGGGAGGGGATATATGTATACCTATGGCTGATTCAGGTTGAGGTTTGACAGAAAACAAAATTCTGTAAAACAGTTATCCTTCAATTAAAAAAATAAATGTAAAAATCCTCAACATTCAAAAAACTAAGATCATGGCATCTGGTCTCATCACTTCATGGCAAATAGACAGGGAAACAATGACAGACTTTATTTTCTTGGGCTCCAAAATCACTGCAGATGGTAACTGCAGCCATGAAATTAGAAGATGCTTGCTCTTTGAGAGGAAAGCTATGACAAACCTAGACAGTGTATTAAAAAGCAGAGACAGTACTTTGCTGACAAAGGTCCATATAGTCAAAGCTATGGTTTTTCCAGCAGTCATGTACAGATGTGAGAGTTGGACCACAGTGAAAACTGAGTGCCGAAGAAGTGATGCTTTAGAACTGTGGTGTTGGAGAAGACTCTTGAGAGTCCCTAGGACAGCAAGGAGATCAAACCAGTTAATCCTAAAGGAAATCTCCTGAATGTTCATTGGAAGGACTGATGCTAAAGCTGAAGTTGCAATACTTTGGCCACCTGATGTGAAGAGCTGACTCATTAGAAAAGACCCTGATGCTGGGAAGGATTGAGGGCAAGAGGAGAAGGGGGTGACATAGGATGAGATGGTTGGATGGCATTACCGAGTCAATGGACATGAGTTTGAGTAAACTCTGGGATATAGTGAAGGACAGGGAAGCCTGGTGTCCATGGGGTTGCAAAGAGTTGGATACAATTAAGTGACTAAACAACAACAATGACTATGTATGAGTACATGGATATGTAGTACTCAGTCAGCAAATATTTATTGTGCATCTATTAAATGCAGTGTAATAGGTGCTAAGGATAAATGATGAACAAGATAGACAAGGTCTCTGTTCTCATGGTCTACAGTCTCAGGGGCAGGGGAGACAATAAATAATTAAACAAGCAAGCAAATGACTTAAGTATTTACAAATCCTGGAATGTACTAGCAGGAAACAAATAAATGGAAAAAAAAAACAATTGGAAAAAATAAGAAGCGTTTAATAGGGTGGTCAGGGAAGACTTCTTGGAGAAGGGGGACTTTATGATAAGACTTGGGTGACAAAGGTGAATCAAACCTTATGAGACTAAATGGGGCAAGCTTTCCAGAAAGAGGAATAAAAAGTGCAAAAGTCTTGAGGAGGTAAAATCTGGGGTTTCCCAGGAATGGAAAGAAGATCCTAGGGCTAGAAGGTAATAAGCTGAGCCTGAGAGGAGTGTAGGTGATGAGGCTGGAGGGGTAGGCTGGGTGGAATCACAATCTCAGAAGTCCTGGTAAGAATTTAGACTACTCAGGACACTGGGAAGTCTGTGAAGGCTTCCTGTGCATGTGTAGACTGACTTCTGACTATGCATCTGGACATGTGTCTGTAAATAAACATTATATATATATATATAATATGTATATTATATATATGTATATAGTACATGTATACAGTGTATACTGACATGTATATGGTACATGTATACAAATGCGATAGGAAAGGGGCCATCCTATGCAGATTCCCCAGAGCATTTCTACAGTGAGAAGAGAATCTAACTCAAATCCTTCTTGGCTTCTTCTGTGGGAAGCTTTACTAGGGAACCCTGTTAATGCAGCAAAAGGCAAGAAGTACCATAAGCACTCATTCTCCCTTCCTACTTCCATCATCTGTGTGTGTTCTAATCTAACCTGAACATCCACACCTCTTTTAGGTAGGGAAGAAGAAAATGGACACTCTCACTAGCTACACTAAGAGAATTTCTCACTGGTTTTAGCTCCCTAGATTTAGGAGGTATGGAGTCTAGGTTACAGGGATGGGAAGTGGCAGGAAAAAGACACGGATCTTCCTAACCTGATACACCTCTAGAGCAACTCCCAAAGGCATTTCTGCTGGTGGGCAAAGGGTCAAGGGATGACATTCCAGTAATCATATAGAACATTTCTCAAGCACCAGAATTCTCCACTGAGGAGTCAAAAAGTAATGGAGAAGATGGAAGAGAAAGCAGAAATTGACTACACAATTCCAGCTCCACATGCAAAATAAAATAAAATAATCATGGCAAGAAGCCAGGAAGCAAGGTAATTGGGGACAATCAGGGAACTTCCTGCCCTTCCCTGCCTTCCATAATTATGAGCATGAAAACAATCCTAGGCGGTGTTTGAGATGAGGAGTCGGGAGACAGGGAAGGACAGAAAGGAAAGGGACCAGAGGGTCTCACCAATTCCTTGTGTTCCTCAGTGAGACTGGAAGGCAGGGTATCCATGTATGAATCCTTCAAGGGCTTCCAGCCTAGCTGATGGGGTTCCATGTAGACCATCCCACACCTGGCAAGCACAAACAGAGGACCATCTTGATTTACAAATCCTGGAATGTACTAGCAGGAAACAAATAAATGATTTACAATTGGAAAAAATAAGAAGCGTTTAATAGGGTGGTCAGGGAAGACTTCTTGGAGAAGGGGGACTTTATGATAAGACTTGGGTGACAAAGGTGAATCGACCCTTATGAGACTAAATGGGGCAAGCTTTCCAGAAAGAGGAATAAAAAGTGCAAAAGTCTTGAGGAGGTAAAATCTGGGGTTTCCCAGGAATGGAAAGAAGATCCTAGGGCTAGAAGGTAATAAGCTGAGCCTGAGAGGAGTGTAGGTGATGAGGCTGGAGGGGTAGGCTGGGTGGAATCACAATCTCAGAAGTCCTGGTAAGAATTTAGACTACTCAGGACACTGGGAAGTCTGTGAAGGCTTCCTGTGCATGTGTAGACTGACTTCTGACTATGCATCTGGACATGTGTCTGTAAATAAACATTATATATATATATATAATATGTATATTATATATATGTATATAGTACATGTATACAGTGTATACTGACATGTATATGGTACATGTATACAAATGCGATAGGAAAGGGGCCATCCTATGCAGATTCCCCAGAGCATTTCTACAGTGAGAAGAGAATCTAACTCAAATCCTTCTTGGCTTCTTCTGTGGGAAGCTTTACTAGGGAACCCTGTTAATGCAGCAAAAGGCAAGAAGTACCATAAGCACTCATTCTCCCTTCCTACTTCCATCATCTGTGTGTGTTCTAATCTAACCTGAACATCCACACCTCTTTTAGGTAGGGAAGAAGAAAATGGACACTCTCACTAGCTACACTAAGAGAATTTCTCACTGGTTTTAGCTCCCTAGATTTAGGAGGTATGGAGTCTAGGTTACAGGGATGGGAAGTGGCAGGAAAAAGACACGGATCTTCCTAACCTGATACACCTCTAGAGCAACTCCCAAAGGCATTTCTGCTGGTGGGCAAAGGGTCAAGGGATGACATTCCAGTAATCATATAGAACATTTCTCAAGCACCAGAATTCTCCACTGAGGAGTCAAAAAGTAATGGAGAAGATGGAAGAGAAAGCAGAAATTGACTACACAATTCCAGCTCCACATGCAAAATAAAATAAAATAATCATGGCAAGAAGCCAGGAAGCAAGGTAATTGGGGACAATCAGGGAACTTCCTGCCCTTCCCTGCCTTCCATAATTATGAGCATGAAAACAATCCTAGGCGGTGTTTGAGATGAGGAGTCGGGAGACAGGGAAGGACAGAAAGGAAAGGGACCAGAGGGTCTCACCAATTCCTTGTGTTCCTCAGTGAGACTGGAAGGCAGGGTATCCATGTATGAATCCTTCAAGGGCTTCCAGCCTAGCTGATGGGGTTCCATGTAGACCATCCCACACCTGGCAAGCACAAACAGAGGACCATCTTGGTTCACACTGGGCTCCCAAGCATGTAGGGGTGAGGTTAATAGGCTGGAGCTTGGGTTGGAGCACAGACCTTCACCAGCTCCAAGCCAAAGGAAAGATGCACAGATTTTTGCCAGGAAAGGGTAGAGACCAGTGCTAAGAGTGGGGTCTTGAGAATCAGAGACTTGTATTCAAATCTCAGCCCCAGATCCTACTAATTGAGTGGCCTCGGAAAAATTTATTTTCTTTTTCTGAATTTGTGTCCTTGTCTGTAAATTGAAGAATATAAAAAATAAGTAGCTTGTAAGATTATTATAATGGTTAAATGAAAGACCAATAAAGAATTTGGCACTATGTCTAGCATACAGAACACTTTTAATCAATGAAAACTACTATTATAATTTTCATGTTATTACATTACCATGTACTGACATGTAACATTGTATTTAGCAATTTCTTCCCCATTCTGTTATATCTAGGCACACTCTTCTTTGTTACTAACACTGGCTACCATTTATTCAGCACCTGCTATGTGTCGGCCACTCTGCTAAGTCTTAATGGCCTTCATTTCTAAATATTCCTCTTTATGGTTTACATTTTAGACATGAGGAGACAGTAGCTCAGAGAGGCTAATTGACTTGGAAGAGATCACACAGCTAGCAAGTGGTGTGTTCAAGGTAGGAGCCCAGGCTGCTCTAACTTGCCAAGTGCTCTTTTTACTCCCTTATATTGCCTTTGGGAATGTGGGCTTATTTTTATTTTATTATTTTATTTGTTATGGACTGGGAGGTACATGATTGGATTAATTATTATTCTCAGCACACTCATCATTAGCCCATGCATGACCTCCCTTAGTTAATTGTTTTCAATAATGTAATCAGTGTCCATGAACCCAACACCCAGGCAGAAGCTATGATTTTGACAATAACCTTTATCTAATTATAAAGTCTCCCTTATCCTATCCCCCTGGCTTCCCCCACCTGAGATTACACAGTATCTTGAAGCTCACATTCACTGGTCCTTTGATTTCTTACCTCCTTATAGTTTTATATACATATACATATTTAGTTGTTTAGTTGGTTTTAATAACCTAAAAGGGGATACTAAGCTGCATGTAATATTACAGGCTTACTTTTCTTGCATTTTAAAAATTATCTATTTATTATTTATTTTTGGTTGGGTTAGGTCTCCGTTGCTGTGAAGGCTTTTCTTTAGTTGTGGCGAGTGGGGGGTTACTCTCTAGTTGCGGTGCACGAGCTTCTCATAGCAGTGGCCCCCGTTGCTGTGGAGCGTGGGCTCTAGGCATGCGGGCTTCAGTAGTTGTGGCTCCTGGGCTCTAAAGCACAGGCTCAGTAGCTGTGGCACAAGGGCCTAGTTGCCCTGGGGCATGTGGGATCTTCCCAGATCAGGGTTCACTGCCGTGTCTCCTGCATTGGCAGGTGGATTCTTTACTACTAAGCCACCAGGAAAGTCCTACAGGCTTACTTTTATATATAATACTGCTAAGAGTTTATCTTTAATTTTATTAAGATTTAGCTATTTAGTCACTTATCAGTACAGTTCACTTATTTTGAATGACATACAAATACTACAATCTGTGATTTTATTATACTTTCTAATTCTTTCCTATTAATGGGCATTTGGGTCATTTCTAAGTGTTGTTGTGAATCGTGCTACTCTGAAAATTCTGGTACATGTCTCCGTTGTACATGGGCACAAGTTTATTTTCAGTATATACTCAGAAGCAGAATTGCTCAGCCATGAGGCACATGAAGGTTCAACTTTAGTAGGTAGTTCAGTTCAGTCATTCAGTCGTGTCTGACTCTTCGCGACCCCATGGACTGCAGCATGCCAGGCTTCCCTGTCCATCACCAACTCTTCAGGCCTTCTCAAACTCTTGTCCATCACATTGGTGATGCCACCCAACCATCTCATCCTCTGCCACCTCCTTCTCTTCCCACCTTCAATCTTTGCTGGCATCAGGGTCTTTTCAAATGAGTCAGGTCTTCCCATCAGGCGGCCAAAGTATTGGAGTTTCAGTTTCAGCATCAGTCCTTCCAATGAACACCCAGGACTGATCTCCTTTAGGATGGACTGGTTGGATCTCCTTGCAATCCAAGGGACTCTCAAGAGTCTTCTCCAATACCACGGTTCAAAAGCATCTTATCCAAAGTGTTTGCCTGATTTTGTATTCCTACCAGCAGTGTGGATTGAGGACTGATTTTATGACAAAGTCTGGCAAAAGGTAATATAGGTGGTCTGCTAGAATTTAATCATGTTTGTGGATTTTTAGAGCTTTTCCTCCTGCTTAGGGTTAGTGAGGCTTCACCTTCCCTCAGGGGGCCCATGCAAGCTGACTCACCTGCTCACAGTGGCTGGGGAGGCCTGTTCCAGGTCAGCTGGCTCGAAGATCAGACTCATCTTGGGGCTCATCTGGATAATCTCTCCACTCATCAAACACAGCTGAAAGTACAAAGCAGAGGGGTCGAGGGCAGCAAATGGGTTGAATTCTATCTGCAAGTAAAAGGCCTCAGTGGAGACAGAGATGGTTTAAATTCATTCAACAAATGTTTCTTGAGCACCTACTCTGTGCCAGGCACGATGCTAGCTGCACCGAATAAAACAAACAAAAAAATTCCTGTCCTCTTGAGGTTTGCATTCTGCTGGGAGGTAACAGATGATAAGCAAAATATATAGGCTATACAAGGATGAAAATGCTTTGGAGAAAAAGTAGAAGAGGGTTGGAGAATGCTGTGTCTGGTGAGATGTAATGTTAAATAGGGAAGTCAGAGAACCACTGAATGGAAGCCTTAGATGAAGAATCTAGAAATTATCAGATTACAGCTAGTTTCATGGTTCCTTCCTCAGTGTTTAACACAGAACTTAACTGCACACTGGCATCCTATTTTATTTTCTCAAGTTTCCCACAAAGACTCCTTCTGGAATACCTGAGGGTCTGGTACAGGGTTAGAGTGACAAGAATATCTCCATATCGTTTTTGAAATGGAAAGATCATTAGAAGCCCTAGTGTTTAGCAGGTATATCCCCACAGAAAGTAGTGCAAATATACAGGACAGCCTCTGAGTATATACACTAAGTCTGTGGCACTGCTTTTCATTTCCCAACATGGGTTAAAATGAGATGTTAAGTCTTAAGATGGCTTGAAGCTTTGGTCTCTCAGGGGGAAAGAAGAAATTCCATTGCTCCATACTTTTCCTCCTAAGTTGGGGTTTAAAGAGCTTCTTGCAAATTACCTGACCCACATCAAACATGTCTGTAATCAGGTCATTACTTGCAATCCCAGAAAGGTCACAGCTGTTATGGGACTAACACCACTAACAGTGTCATCTCTGAATATCAAGAAAAGTAAAATAGACCCAGAGCTGTGCCAGCAGTTTGATTTCATTCCGAGCCAAGAAGAGCCATCAGGAATTTCACTGACTCTTTATACTTCTGATCTCAAGACCAATCCATACATGTGTACAATTAGTTTATATAATATAGTCCATATCATAGAATAAAATGCACTTCTACATTTATATGTTATATAATCAAAATTATGAAAATGCTATTATTAGTGTATGTGTGTAATTTGGATAATTAGGCTTTCCATTGTTGAGCGTGATTCACTCTTAGTCTTGCAAAATGTAAATGCTCCTGGAAAATATATTTTGATTTGATAAGGAAGTATAGTCAATGTAAGAACTCTTCCTTGAAATGGTGATAAATATTATTTTTTTATTTTAACCCTTATATAGCACTTGTTCTATGCCAGGCACTATTATAAGCAGTTTGTAAATATTAATTTATCTAATCTTGCTAACAATATTATAACACAGACACAACACAAACACTATTATCCTCATTTTACAGATGATGCAATTGAGGTATAGGTATAGTTTTCTTGAGGTTACATGACTGCTGAGTGGTAAGACAGGATCTGAACCCAGGCTGTCCAGCTCCAGAGACTAAGCTCTTTGCCACTCCGCTTACTGCAGTAGGCAGAATGTATCTTCCAAAGACGGCTGTGATGTCTGCTAACCCATGTGTACTTTTGCAGTGTGATCTCACCCACCTCCATCAAGAGGTGGCATCTATTTCTCTATTTCCTTGAATCTGGAAAGGTTCTGTGACTTCTTTGACTTAACAAAATTCAGAGAAAGTAATGCTGTGCCAGTTCCAAGCAGAGATTTTAATTTCTTGCCTCTTTCAAATCAACCACCAGGTAAGGAGTGCCACTACTGCAATGATAAGACCAAGTCATGCGGACAGGCCTGGAGGATAAGATGCTATTTGAGAGAAAGAGAGACAGAGACAGAGAGTCATGGAGAGATAGACAAGTCAAGGAGGAAAGAGCCCCCAAAAACTGAGTGAAGAAGCTACCATGGATGTGGCTGCTCTAGCCCTAGCCACCCCAGATGACGTCCTGAGGATTAGCCTAGCCCTTTTGAGCCTTTTCAAAATTTATAATCCACAGTATCATGAGCAAAGTTAAGCCACTAAGTATTAAGATAGTTTGCATCTTTATTTATACAGTAGTGGATAAAAAAATACATCCCATGTATCACAGACTTTGTATGGACTATCTTAATTATCAACACCCCTATTTTATTACTACTTTTTTAACAAATGAAGAAATTGGTTCAGAGAAGTTAAGTGACTTGCCCAACTTCCTCAATTGTAGAGCCAGTAGTCCAATTTAATGCCAGAACCAAGGCTTTTAACCATCATACAACAGTATCTCAAAACACACTCAACTTATCCACTACAAGTACAAACAAAAGTATAATTCATGAATTGATAACTGTTACTTTCTTATGTGGCATTTATTCTCAGTGTAAATAAGTGTATACATTATACAGTATTGATCAATCACTCACTTCAGTAAAAGAGGTTATTCCCCATCCGTGTAAAAGTGATATCAGACAGGTACCTTTTTATTGTCATCCAGAACAGTGTTCATATTTTCAATCCAAACAGCATCCACTGGCCCATCAAATATAATCCACTTGCGGTCATCAGACAAAGAAGATGCTTGCTCTCGGAAAGCATTGGCAAGGACACCATCTGTCCATTCATGGCTCACTTGGTCAAAGCACCCATACAGTTGTCCCATGGTGATAGCTTTGGGATTAATGATTTTATACTCCACAGCAAACTCTTCCATCTGGTTGGCTGGACAAGAAGGTCCAACACAAGTTACAAAGTTTCTGGTGAGACCAGAACATTAGACAAGAGTCAATGCCATTTAAAAGGTCAAACAAATTTATCAGCGTGCCATCCAAGGAGAGTCCTTATAAAATTTATACTCAGTCTATATAAAATTGGGATAACTGGATAGGCAATGACTTAAATTGTTAGGCTATTATAGCTATTAGTTTCTTAACATATTGTCTTCTGACGCTCAGTTCAAACAAGTCAAATGAGCCAGTCAGATCTAAATAAAGTCTGGGCCTAAAATAACTCAGGCAGTAAAGGAGAGAGATGCCATATAATCAGGTCTCTTTATGTATCTGGCTTTCATGGCTACCCTAGAACTGTGGCTTTGACTTGAGTTGAGGAAACAACTGACAGGTAAAAGATGGTTACTTTCCTTTTCCTCTATCTGAAGGGCGAGCTAAGCCCTGAAACCTATTCTTTCGTTGCTCAATAAATGGTCCCTAAGAACAGAGCACCAGTACCTAACTGGAATACATAGGCTGATGGATGGCACATCACATGTATTTAATAACAGAAAATAACCACACTTTTACATGATCCTTCAAAGCAAGGAAAAGCTGGAGTGCATGAACCAAGAACTAAATAAAAAATTGTTCCTGCAGAATCCTGAGGCAAAGACAATGGGGTAGCCTCCTTCCTCTTCATTTAGTTTCCTAAACTATACTCAACACCTAAATTACTATTGAAGTTTGAAATGCCCAAATTAGTTTTTAATGTCAAGTCAGTGCTGAAAACAAAAATCTCAAAAATCCAACAGTAACTCAATGTTATTACAAAAAATATTAAAACAAAGCATACTGGAAGGGATTGTGTAAACACAGGCAGAGCAAGGCACTGCTTTTCAAAATCACAGCATTGTGTTTTATAAAAGGAAAAACCTCCAAACTGTTTCTCTGGCAATAGACATAGCTTTTATTTGTTGAGTAGACACTGTGCTAGCTTATTTACCTGTATAATCTCATTTAATTATCACAATGATCCCATTATCACAGTGATGCCTCTGGGAAAACAGAGGCAAAGAGAGGTTTAGTAACTTGCCCCAGGTCTGTGTCTGATTCAGAAGTCTGAGGCCTTATCTTCTACCTTAAAAGAAAAGAAGGGTAGAAGGAAAGGGGGAGGGAGGGAGGGAAGCAGAGGGGATAGGAGGGAGGGAGAATGAGAGGAAGAAAGAAAGGAAAGGGGAAGACAAAGAAAGAGAGGCAAAGAAGGGATGGAAAGAAAACAGAAACCATGCAGTGATCTGTTTTTAGAACAGTTTTGTTTAGACAAGTGGCAGGAGTATCCCTCTCTCTGGGAAGCTTTTGGAGAAATCACAGTTCAGCATTTGAGAAAATTCCTACAGCCTAATGATGCACATAAAACCCCGTTAGAAGCTCTCCCTCTCTTTATTTTCTGCCTGCAGACCCCTGTGTGCCATGTTCTATTTCTGCTAGATTGTGACTCTAATGTCACAATCTAGGGATGGCAAAGCTAACAGCCTAGCATCATCTCTATGGAACCAGTCAACTAAGTGGGGACACCTGTTCTCCCTGGAAGTTAGGGATGTGAGTTTTACCTTCGTATAAATCACCCAGAGCTGCAGCCAACACTTTATAAGCACAGGTCTTGCCACCCATGGGATCTCCAACAATCATATAGCCATGTCTTACCAGCATCATCTCGTAGATCTGGGAAGAAACATCATGTAAGAAGTTAATCATTGCAAACATCCCAAAATTGCAATTAGTCAGAAGTCAACAAAGAATGAGGTCTACAGTCTTTTTTTTCATCTATCGTTTAAATATCTTTTGGATGAATAATAATGTATGTGTGCATTTCAGATTATTTAAGGGATGAGAAATACTATTTACTCTGCACCTCTTCATGTGCTAAACATGAAGTGATTCACCTAAGTCATTTCGTTTAATCCACTCAGGCATCATCTTGTGCTGTGTATGCTGTGCTTAGTCACTCAGTCCTGTCTGACTCTTTGTGACCCTGTGGAATGCAGCCCACCAGGCTCCTCTGTACATGAGGATTCTCCAGGCAAGATTACTGGAGTGGGTTGCCATGCCCTCCTCCAGGGTATCTTCCCAACCCAGGGACTGAACCCAGGTCTCCTGCATTGCAGACGGATTCTTTACCAAGTGAGCCACCAGGCATCATTAACTACTTTCAAATGGTGGGAACACTGAGCCTAAGAGAGGTTAACTAACTTGCCCAAGCTCATCAGTGGTAGGACCAGGATTTGACCCCAGGGCCTCTGATTTCAATGCTGCTAATCTTTTCCTTACACCATTTCTACTTGCTTTTAAAGAGGAAAAGGAAACAGTGGTCATTTTAGCAAATTGTATTTCTATTGGAAATTTCCTTTCTCAAGGCCTAAATGCTATTCTGACTTAATTTGAATTCTCAATAGATTAAAATGTATTTTATGAGCCAGGAGAGATGCTGTTAAATACAAATGACCTTCCATGTAATTTTAGCCCTTACCCTTGAGAATCAAGAGCGAAGTGGAAGCTCATTTTTTGAATTTTCTAACTGTTTTGTCTGTCTGTGAAGAGTAGTCTATGATAACTGAAATGGAAATGCTTTGGTCATTTATACTAATGTGACATGTTTTCTCTCTCCTTCTAAACTGTGAATCTCTCAGAAAAAGGGAGTACGTGAAGCTTTTTATTTTAAAGATTATGTTCTCATTATTTTTCACCTTCCCTGAAGGAGGAAATGGCAATCCACTCCAGTATTCTTGCCTGGAAAATCCCATGGACAGAGGAGCCTGCGGGGCTGCAGTCCATGGGGTTGCAAAGAGTCAGACATAACTGAACAACTAACACACATTTTTCACCTTGGAAGTGAGTTATACAGAGGGTCTAAATGAAGACAATAGGGGTGGTACAGGTACTGATAAAAGCGAGTCAGCAAATATTTGTTAAACACCTACTATGTGCCAGACACTCTTCTAGATGCTATAGGCACAGAGGATAAAACAAAAAAAAATCCCCAACCATCCAGTAAGGTTTACATTCAGGTAGGAAAGACATTTCAGATAGAATAAAGATAAGTGAGTTGACTGTGCATTAGAAAGAAGAAAGGCACTTAGGCTTCAATAGCCTCTCAGCTTCAGCTTCCTCCTCACACATTTTTAAATGGATTACTGAAAGTGAAAACCTCTCAGTCATGTCCTACTCTTTGCAACCCCACGGACTATACAGGAGGAATTCCTGTGGGATTCTCCAGGCCAGAATACTGGAGTGGGTAGCTCTTCCCTTCTCCAGGGGATCGATCAAACCCAGGTCTCCCACGTTGCAGGCAGATTCTTTACCAGAAGAGCCACAGGGGAAGCCCAGGAATACTGGAGTGGGCAGCCTAACCCTTCTCCAGGGGATCTTCCCGACCCAGGAATTGAACCAGGGTCCCCCTCGTTGCAGGTGGATTCTTCACCAACTGAGCTATCAGCGAAGCCCAAAATGAATTATTAAGGTATCAATATAACAGAAGGGATGGTAACTCCATACATATATTTTTGGCTGTGCTGGGTCTTCATTGCATTATGCATTGTGAAGCACAGGCTTAGTTGCCCTGTAGCATGTAG